CCCTCTGTGCTCGCTCGCCGATAGAGCGCGATTAATATGCACGCCCTCCATTATTCATTTTCGTTTATATATTCGTCGTGCGGGGTGCTTGGCAAGGGGAGCAGGCGGAGTGGGGTGCAATCCCCGAAAAGACAATCGAACGGGAATTATATCATCAGTCCGCGAGTTTGCTCTCTCCTCACGCGTGCAGATACGTAACGCACACAGACACGAGGTCGCGCACACAGCCGCACCCCGCGACGGTAGATATTTAATTAAAGTTGTTTGCGCGACCAAGTTCGGAAACTTTGGGGATAACTTACCGCGTCCGGGAAGCGGGGAAGCGGGCACACCGCCGAGCCCGAGGAAGGGGACCGCATTTAATTGTCCTCGCATTAAATGCGTCCTTTGAGTTATGCTCGTCATCGTGTCACCGGAAGTCGCTATCGAGCCATGCATCACCGTGTCGAGCCGCGAAATTTATTAATGCCGCCCCGCCCCCCGCCGCTCCGCTCCGCTCCGCTCCGCGCCGCGCCGGGCCGGGCCGGGTCCAATTAATTCTCTCTGCTCTTCGGCTGAACGGGCGCGGGCGGCGCGGATCGTTATAAATAAATATAATGTAACATAAAATTTTTTTACGTATTTTCCAATACGTAATCGCATCTTTCGTTTCGCGAAATTTTCTACAGAAATTAATTAGAGTTGCTTTCTACAATAATACAACTATTACCACCACTTGTAGTACTTGGTATCTCTGGATGTGTTGGAAAAACTCAAGTCTTGTACGATATATATTTGTCCTGATGGAAAGAGAAAAGATCATATATGGGGGACGATAGCGAGACAGCGACAGGTAAGGGACACCGACAGCGAGGTCGGTGCGGGGCTGCGGGCGGGCGACGTCCTGAGAAACGAGAGGCCACGCGAGATCGCGTAAACGTATTCGTGTCAAAAGCAGCTCCGCGGTCGAGACCCGAGTTATCCTCCACGACCCCACTCTGTCATCTCGAACTTACTTCGCCTCCTTTCAGCCGCCGCGCCGCGCCGCATCACGGCTGTTATTTCATACGTGATATTCTACCTTCCCTCGAATATTCCATCGAGATTCTTTCTCGCC